CACTACAGAGTCTTACTCCTGCAAACCATGTGAGCACATCCTTATTTCAGCTTCATCCAGAGGATGTTGGAAGACTTTGCATACGCTCTGTGATCACAACAAAAACTACAGAATCCAACGGTTTTGTTTGTGCCTCAACAACCAAATTTAATGGGGTCATTCTGCATCAAGTTTTATCTTAAACCACTTAGCTGGACCTAAGAATCCTTATCTATATGATGGGAATAACAACTGTACTTACTGCACAAGTTGCTGAGAAGATTCAATAACTTAATATATGCAAAAGCATAACAGGGCCTGACAACACACTTGTTGGAAGTGGGCAGGATCTAAATTTAAAAGAACATTCCCGAGGACTGGAAAGTCCCTGCCACTTGTGGTTCTGGGTAAGAGGCCCTCCCCTGCACTGAGGTGGGCTCTTCTGTGTTTCCATGGAGAGGTCACCATGTAGCTGGTGTATCCAGTGAAGCCCTGGTGCACTCCGCCACCCACGAGCATGTTAAGTTTGGAGAGCTGCCCTATAGAGCCAGGGACACTTCCGTCTTATTCCATCCCTGCTAGTTCTCCCATTATACCCAGTGTGGAGAACACTCTGGGTGGCTGCTGGCTAACTGGGCAATCCTAGGTGCCTGAGGGGAGAGCTAATGCAGTCTCAGTCCTGCTGGCAAAGCCATGTCCCTTCTGCATTAGCCACAGCAGCTACTGAGCAAGCTAAAGGCTCAGAACCTGAGCACCCTCTACCCATCCTCAGCCCGAGCGCCTCCCTCCTAGGGCAGGTCTCACGCCAGTACTCCTGGCCTAGGGTAGGAAGGACTTAAGTGCCACAGTGACCACATTTTCTAACACAAAAAGCTAAGGAGTATGAGTTGACTTATGGAGATCAAATGTTACTCCTGGAATATGGGTGGTTAGAACTTGATGTTAACCATCAAATCAGAGAAATTCATACTCAATACCTCTGAGGGAATACAAGGGGGAGGGGTGAAGTTTCTATCTTTAACGACTGGGTAAATGAAGGTTCCATTAGCACCCTGCTTTTTGACTCAATAAGACAGGCGTCCATCAGACAGGCAAAACTTTTCAAGTCTTAAAATCTGGTGGAGGGGAAGATGGCTCAACCATTTAAGAGAATAATTTGGTAGCATCAATTTAAAAATGGGCAGGCCTTGTGACCACAGAGTCTAATTTCTTTTTTTTTTTTTTCCTTGAGACAGGGTCTCCCTCTGTTGCCCTGGCTAGAATGCAGTGACATCAATATGGTTCACTGCAACCTCAAATTCCTGGGCTTAAGCAATCCTCCTTGCCTTAGCCTCTTGTGTAGCTGGGACTACAGGCGTATGCCACCACACCCAGCTAATTTTTCCACTTTTGCAGAGATTGGGGGTCGAGGTAGCAGGTGTGTCTCACTATGTTGCTCAGGCTGGTCTTGAACTCCTGGCCTCAAGCAATCCTCCTACTTTGGCCTCCCCAAAGTACGGGGATTACAGGTGTGAGCCACTACACCTGGCCCAATTTTTTGTTTCTATTCTCGATGACCAGAACAGGAAGTATTATCTTAGAGAAAACCAGAAATATTCATAACGGAATAATATAACCATGCTATAGAATATTATACAACTGTCAAAGTTTAGGTAGATCTCTTCCTTGTTCTAGCATGGAAAGAATTTCAAGGCACATTTATTTGTTGGGCAAATAAAGCAAGCTGCAGAATGGTATGATAGCATTTATGTAAAAACAGAGCAAAGAATAAACATATGTAAATGCAAAGGAAAATGTCTGCCAGGGTGCTCACCAAACTCAGACGGGGTAGGGGAAGGGACTCTAGTTGTTTCTGTAAGACTGTCTCTCAGATAATAATTATTTAAAAATATACCAAGATTTTGAGAATGGTGGTCTATATAAACCCAGATTACACTTGACCTCTATTGTCTTATACTTTGTATATTTCAAATTATCTACCAATGAAAAACCTGAAAAATATATATTGCACAGGTAACCCAGGTTTGCTAAAGAAACTTGAGAAGCTATATCTAGTGCACAGTTTGAAATGAAAATCTGGAAATTCAGGATGAATAGTTCTAACATTGTTAAGGATAAGAGCCCCTTTGAGAACCTGATGAAAGCTACAGACCTTGCTCCCAGGCAAATACACAGCACTCCCAATGCTGCATACAATTTCAGGGAACACAGGGATCCCCAGAAGGTTAAGAACCTCTGATTTAAAAGACAGTAAAAGCCACTAAAATGGATGCAACAAAGCAGAGAACGTGTTGGGATTAGCAAAGATGGACTGCAGAACTCAAGGAAACCCCAACAATGAAAGAGCATACAGAAGGAGTTGACAGACAAGTAAGGAGGATGTGGGCAGCTGTCAGACAGCCAGGCAAGGGGCAAAGACCAGAGAGGGGCAGCAGAATGAGGCCCATTCAGGAGAGGGTAGACAGTAGCAGGTGCGTGAGCTCCATGCCTTCTGTACTCTCTGCCTCCCCCACACTGCTGTCACGTGGATTCTCCCACAGCTCCAACGTGATAGTGTCATTTCTCCACTGGAAAACACCCTTCAGCAAGTGGTGGGCAGGGAGTCCACAAATGAGGCCAGGTCCCATGGTCTGGCCCCAGCCTCATCCTCTGGCCTTTTCTCCATTTAACTCCAAACACACTGGGCTGTGATGTGTTTCTCATACATCTGTTCCTTCGATGCCTCCATTCGTGCCATATCCTTTAGCACAATGCCTGACACGTTCGTAAGATTATCAAAAATGGTCAGCATTTTTCTTTCCTTCCCAACTCTCTCATGGAGACTGTCACTTAGTAAAGAACGTTGGATTTGGAGACTCCTCTATGAACAGCCCAGTCAGAATTACCACTGTCCTCTATCTCTGGATTTGCTCCCCACAACACCTAGTGGAGGTTTCATGTTTGCTAGCTGGCTGACTGAAACAGGTCAGAGATATCAGGAAGCACTGGCTCCTGGCTAGACTCTGATCTACCAGGGAAGCCCCAAGAGTGGAAACTTGGGAGTTGTGTCTGGAGATGTGGACTGTCCCTAAATTTGCATATACACTAAGTACAGAGTTTTCCCATAAAATAAAGTGCCAGCCATGCATCACTTAATGGCAGGGATACACTCTGAGAAATGTCATTAGATTTCGTCCCTGTACGAACATCAGAGTGTACTTACATAAACCGTAGAGCCTACTGCACACCCAGGCTACATGGAGCCTATTGCTCCTAGGCTACAAACCTGTACAGCATGTTACTGTCCTGAATACCACAGGCAACAGCAACACAGTAGTATAAGTATTTGTGTATCTAAACATATCTAAACCTAGAAAAAGTACAGTAAAAATACAGTACTACAATCTTATGGTATCACTGTTGTATGTGGGGCCTGTTGTTGATGGAAACGTCATTATTTCATGCATGACTTGTATACTAAATGTTTTCAGCTTTGCAATGGATACTCTCAGAAAATTGTTATAGACTGCAGACTGTAATGGGGTCACTCAGAAATAGTTAGAACTACAAATATCAAATGTCACAAACTACTGAGACACGCTTTAGGTCCTACTGGCTCACAGAATTACCATCCCAGTATTAAGTCCACCTCTGACTCATGTCTACAAGTCGTGTGCTTGGGTACCAAATGCACCATGATTTTTTAAAAAGCTTCATGGCAGACCCGCACAGGCCCAGCCACTCTCATGCTGCCTCCAGGAGGCTCTGCTCCACCCTCTCCTGACAAGTGGGGCAGGAATGCAGAGAGACCTTGAACCCCTGGTCAATCAGCCTGGCCTTCTCAGGGGTGGGTCCTTTCTTATTCTATTTATGAGCTCAAAGTACTGGGTACTCAGCTAGCAACGAAGTCCTGGGCCTGGAAATGACCACTGCCCCCCAAGCCCAGAAAGACAGTGGGTGGGTGGAAATTGCCCATAACCTGGCTGGAGTCTGCAGGCCAGGCTTCAAATCCAGATTGCCTCATTCAGGCCCACTATACTGGCCCGGCTCAGGCTTCACCTTAAGAGGCATTATAATATCCACCATATCCACCCCACAGCGCCCCCCCAACCCCTTCGTAAACTGTAAAGATGCACACTTGTACTGTTATCACAGCCACTAGATCTAAGACTCTCTAAATGATGGACAACAGTCAAAGAATTTTATCAACTAAAGTAATGACCTTGAGCCTAGTTTTTCTCCACTATAAAATGAAGGTGTTGGATTAATTCTGTCATTCCTGTATTTCATTACCATACAAAAAGGTAATAACGAATTGCTAAGGCTTTATTTTGCCAAGTGAGGATTTAAAAAAAAATTACAAACTATGAGTGTCACCATCATTTTCAAATAGAAAATACGTTTTAAACCAAAAAAGTTGAAAGGAAGTAATATCAGAGTAAGCATAGCCACCCCAAGGAAGGCCCGTGGACAACGGCCCTAACCACGGAGATACCAGAGCGGCTATAGGGGCTCTCAGCAAAGGGTCTGCCCCTGGCCCTCACATTCTGGGACATTCTGGGTACGTCTTAACGACGCTGAAAACAAGCATCAACTCCCAACGGCAGCAAGTTTAAAAATCAAAAATACGGATGCCAGGCGCCTAAGTGAAGCCTCTCCAGGCCTCCGTGGGTTGCCCCGGACCCACACCCCGGTTTCCCTACCGCTTCCCGGGCTCCACCTCTTGCTGCCCCCCGGTCCCTCTGGGCCTCGCGCCCACTCTGAATCCCCCATGGCCCTCGCACCCTGCAGCCCCTGCACCCTGGGCAGCCTCCGTCCTTGGCCTGCGCCCCGCCGGCCCCTCATGCCCGCCTGGCCGCGTCAGCCCAAGGTCGGCGAGAGAGGGCCGCGGGCCTGGCGGGCGGGGACGCCCCGGGACGGGTCGGGGCTGCATCCGAGGCCGGAGCCCGGAGGCCGGAGCCTGCAGGCCGGAGCCGCTGCCGGACCCGCTCCCGGCCCGGCTGGCAGCCGCGGGGGCGCGGGGCCTGCGAGGCGGTACTCACCCGGGCGACGCCATGAGCGCGGCGAGGTCTCGGCTCCCGCCTCCTCCGCTTCCTCCGCGCGGCCGCGGCTCGGCGCCGGGGAGGGGCCTGAGCGGCCGGCAGCTAGCCCGACCCGGCGGCGCTCCGGGCCGCGCTCCAGGGGCTGAGATGAGGGGTACGTGGGCCCCCGGTCCGCAGGGAGCCGCCAGGGGGCGGCCCGGGCTGAGTGGGGGCGGGGCGGCCCGGGTCCGCCTGCAGCCCGGAGCCCGCCCACCGCCCACCTGCCCAGGTGCCTGGAGGCCGGAACTCGCCGGGCGGCGCCTGCGGTGCCAAACCAGCGGGATAATCTGCCCCAGGGCTACGAACTAGCTCCTGGGCCTCACTGAAGTCCAGACCTCTCTGCTATTGGAGGTTAATTTCCGTAAGAAAATCCTTTTCTTTAGCAGTGGGGTGTAAGGCGTTGTTGTTATTATTAAGCAAAACAATAACTTTCCTACTTCTTAACGTGGGATGCCGCGTTGGACGAACTGCTGGCCTGAGCCGGATACTCTGTAAAAATCACATGGTGAAGCCCAAAGGAATGTGAGGCACTTTTATTATTCCTTATGTATTGTATTATTAAGCAAAAATAATGAGTCGGGAATTCCTGCAATTTCACAGCTATGAGTACTTGGGCAGGTGAATTTTTGAGCTGCAGTTCCTAATCTCTGCAAAATGGGTGTTCAGAAATAAATGATCTCTTGTAAATGGAAACAATAAAAAGCTCTGGGCAATGTAAACCATTGTTGATAACACTTTTTGGAGTTATATTAAATATCATTAATAATCATTATTTTGTAATTTTTCCTACTAATAAGAATACGAGACAGTAAAATAGTGATTAAAACTTTAGCTCTGGACCCTGAATACCTGGGTTGGAATCAGCTGCACCGATTATCAGCTCTAGGAGCCCAGGTAAAATAATAGACCCTTTCCAGGACCACAGTTCCTCATTTGAAAAATGGGGCTAAAAATAAGTCCTTTCCTCTCTGTGAAGATTAAATGAGTTAATATTTGTAAAGCAATTAATAAATTGCCTGGTCCATGGTGTCTTTCCCTGTCAGGAGAATCCATGCAATGCTTCTGAGCCTCCTTGTCCTCTTCAGTAAAATGGAACTCCACAATTACCCAGAATTCAGAAGATAATTAATGCCCTGTAAAAGGGAGCTGATTAGCTAAAGCCATGGGGACTTGTGAGACCCCCAAATAAGTACAAATCCAGAAAGACCAGGATGAGGAAGAGTTTGGGGAGTGGGCAATGCTAAATGGCCTAATTCAAAGCAGTAATGATTGCCACTCGAGTGAGGGAGGTTAGATCATTTTTTAAAAATAAGCTTTGTTGGGTTTTTAAGTAAGTAATATAAGTTCACTGAAATCAAATCTCCTTCTTTAACTTGAATTTTAGCATTCCACTGTATGATGGATCGGCACATATTTAACCAAGCCCTATTGTTGGACATAAATATTGCTGCCAGTATTTTTTTTTTTTTTGAGACAGAGTCTCACTGTGTTGCCTGGGCTAGAGTGCCGTGGCGTCAGCCCAGCTCACAGCAACCTCAAACTCCTGGGCTCAAGCTATCCTCCTGCCTCAGCCTCCCGAGTAGCTGGGACTACAGGCATGCGCCACCATGCCCGGCTAATTTTTTCTATATATATACTTTTTAGTTGTCTGATTAATTTCTTTCTATTTTTAGTAGAGACAGGGTCTCGCTCTTGCTCAGGCTGGTTTCGAACTCCTGAGCTCAAACAATCCGCCCGCCTCGGCCTCCCAGGGAGCTACGATTACAGGCGAGAGCCACCACGCCCGGCCCCGCTGCCAGTATTTCTATAGCTTACAACAAATTGGGTAAAGTATACCTTTGTAAAAAAAAATTAAAGCATTTATCTTTCTCTCTACCTGATTTCTCCAGAATTTTGAAACTATTTGTGAGTATTCTTAATTTATGGCAAAATAGTTACTCTGTATAAATTCAATAAGAATCTGTTTTCTTTTATTTAACAGGACACAAACATTGGTTATTTATCAAGGCTTTGACTGGAATGGCATATTTTCAGATACGACCAAGCTTCTTTGTGGAATTGAGGTTGACTTCATAGAGCTGATAAAAAGACCCTTGGAAAGATTGTCTTGGTACCTTGTCTAGCAGTTCCTTTATAAGGTTCTTGACCTGTAATAAGTAAAGACTGTCACTTTTTGATAGGCCCAGGAACCTCAAGTTATTTTGAGACCTCAAAAAAGGAATTCACCCAATTCATACTGGTATCCACAGGCAGACATAAATCCTTGGTCTGGCTAGCCTCAAGGCTTTTGAAAGTCTAATACAAGATTCCTAATTTTAAAAGTTCCAGCAAAGCCAATTTAAAAACAACTTATATGGCCAATCACTATCCTTACTGCACTTTATGCAAACAATCAGGCCAAGTATAATACAACCAGAATTCATTTTGCAAATGTGAACTAAAATAAAATTTTAAGGCTCACCCCCCCACCAGCTGACTAAACGGACCCCCTCATGGCCAAAGGAATATCCTAAAACTAAATTGCCTGCCAGGAGGAAGGTCAAACATGCCTTATCATGCCCCCCTCCCTTCTTGGTGACATCCTTTATAACTCATTAACAGGCGTAAGGGTGTGCAAGACAAACCTGCAGGTCCTCAATTTACAGAACAAATCTATGTCCAGTGGCATATCTCTGATAAACAGCTCCTTATGTTGAAACATTCCAAGCCTTTAGACAAAGCTTCACGTCTTTAACCAATTATAAGCCAAAGAATCTTTAAACCCACCTTATAACCTGTAAGCCCCCGCTTGGAGATGGCCCACCTTTTCGGGCCAAACCAATGTATGCCTCCCATGTATTGATTTATGACTTTACCTGTAATCCCTGTCTCCCTAAAATGTATAAAACCAAACTGTAACCCAACCTCAGCGAGTCCACTGCTCAAGGCATCTTGGGCGTGGCTCCAGGTCATGGTCCTCAAATTTGGCTCAGAGTAAATCTCTTTAAAATTATTTTACAGAGTTTGGTCTTTTTTCCATTGACACAAATGAATTGGTCCTACTATGATTTATCCTTGGTAGAAATGGGAAACTGGAGAGAAAATAATTATGTTTCAGAAGAAAACCATAGTACACCTATTATTAGATTCTAGATTCTAGTCTTGTTCACTGTTTTTGAGTTTTTATTATTTGCATACGATTTGGATTGAATTCTGAATTCTTTCTTGGCTACAAGTCTCCAAACTAATGTTTCCAAATTTTTCTTCCATTGTTCTGACTTAGACTCAATGAAATTGCTATTGTCTTTTTGCTGAGGCCCTGCAAGCATACCTTATGACATACAAGCTACAGGTGAGAAAAATCTGTCAGATTGCCACTGCCTACTTCCAACTTCCACTTTAAGTGAAGATGCTTCAAGTCTGATTGCCCTCTAGACTCTAAGGAAACTGGTTTATAGGTTGTTCTAAACATTTTTTTTTTTTTTTTTTTGGAGACAGAGTCTCACTGTGTTGCCTGGGCTAGAGTGCCGTGGCATCAGCCTAGCTCACAGCAAGCTCCAACTCCTGGGCTCAAGTGATCCTCCTGCCTCAGCCTCCCAAGTAGCTAGGACTACAGGCGTGAGCCACTGTGCTAAGAATGTTCTAAACATTAACCTTTGCTTTTCAGTGCCATCTCCTGAAATGAGACACAGCTATTTAATGGGACTTGCACAGTCCCAGAAATGAGAGATTGGTTTGATGGGATACTTTGCCACTCAGCTATCAGCTCAATTTTGGCTCCACGGCCACCTACTCTGCTTTTAGTGTGTAACACTTTAGGAATGTTTCAGACAGGGGAATGTTGGAGCTCAGAAACTGATACCCCAGAGTATGATGGTTTGACATACTGAACTGAAAAAGCCTCAAGGTCTCTCTGACCTTCCTCCCCAAACACCCCTCCCAAAGAAGCTGAAGTTCCTTTATCTGCCTAAGATCCAGACCCACCAAGGAGAACAATTGTTTTTTCTTCCCCTTCCTGTAAGACCAAGAATGTAACCACACCTGGACAGACCCTTTCACTGTCTGAGAGAACTATTTACAAGTTAATCTCTGTTCCCCTATCCATTCACTCTTCATAATCATCCTTTATTGTCCCTCAACAGAATTCCTCTTCTACCCCCTCATAACCTGTTTTGCCAGGCAGTACATAAGCTTCAAAACCCCCTGGGAGGGGTAATCACTCTGTGATTCTCCCTATGTATATATGTTAAATAAGTTTGTATGCCTTTTCTCCCATTAATCAGCCTCTTACCAATTGATTTTTCAGTGAACCTTCAGGGGGCCAATAGCCTTGGCCCCTATCATTTCATTATTATAAGGAATGTGGGCAATAAATACTGTAGCCAAAATGCCCCATAAACATCCATGATTATTTCCTTAAGCCAAATTTCAAAGAGTTGAATTTCTAGATCAGTAGTTTATCAATATTTTAAGGCTTTTCTTTTTTTAAAAAAAAAAGATAAATTATTTTGGCTAATTTCTTTCTGTTTTTTTAGTAAAGATGGGGTCTCACTCTTGCTCAGGCTGATCTCAAACTCCTTTGCTCAAACAATCTGCCCACCTTGGCCTCCCAGAGTGCTAGGATTACAGGCGTGAGCCACCCACCGCACCCAGCCTTAAGGCTTTTCTGATACATATATAATCTGTATATACATACACAGAAAAACAGATACATATATATAGTATACATACATATACACATACATATTTATACATATCTGTACATATATTAATATATACAGATACACATTCACACACTTAATATAAACTCACACGTGTATATATATACACATACACAGATTGCCCTTCCAGCAAAATCACCAACACTGAATGATATTCCAGGTTTCCAAAACACTATAAATTTTACAATTTTTAAAAAATGATTGCCCATTTGTCAGGTTAAAAACCAGTATCTTGGTAAACTGGCAGACTAGGAAGCTCCAAGCTCTCTTTTCCCCACAGAAACATGGAGAAAAACACTAGAAGCTGTGTGAACCAAGTTTGTAGG